AAAAAAAAAAAAAAAAACTGCGTCATAGAATAAATAAAGAAAATAAGAAGAAAGCATCTCGCAATCAGTGAAAAATTTCGTTTCCATTGTATTATTCTCAGCAGAATCAACGTGGATGTTTGGAAGGCAAGTTCAAACTGGGAAATGATTTACAGAATTAGCAGTCATCTGAAAGGAACTTGGAGGCTGGAGGACGAATGAACCGGTCGGATTGGTCGATTAGCCTCCACACCTTCTTTCATAGATTATTCAAATTATTATTAAATTCCTTTGCTTGCGTAGAACCGACGAAGCTGATCATTTTCTCCCGTCGTGATCTCGTTGCCACGCGCCGACAGTCAAGAAATCTGCTTCTCAAGCCTCGTGTCGCGAATAAATTTCTCCTCTACGCAACTCTTTTATATAACTTCTTCCCCCTCCCCCACACCTGCGTCTGTGATGTAATCCGATGTTATTTCATGTTCGATGAATATGCATAACAATACATTTTGCGCAGATCGTACTCGTTATTCAGATAATAACTCGTGATCGTGTCTCGTTTGTTACACTTATTTCTCGAACGTATGTGTAAAATGAATTCCAAGGTCAAAGTCACTTTTGCAAAGTCAAGTTTCTTTTAACATCGATCCAGAGACGATCGTAACATTTATACTTTTCGTACAGTGTTACATTACACTGTACTTGTAATTATTAACGAAGGGATATTTCATTCAAAGATTTATTTCATACACGTATTTCTATCAATCAAATTTTATTTAACACGAAATATCTTGACGACTACTAATTTTAACAATATCGTTGAGATTTTATTTCGAACTCTGGATCCTCAACTGAGATATCATTTCAGAAGTTACGACTTGAATGAAATTGCAGTATCGATGTCTGCAATAATTTTAATTCGATAACGGTGCCAAATGATCTTCTAAGGGAACATGATTGTTCTCGTAATAATTCAAAACAGTTTCTAATTCTAATTATTAACCAACAGAGAGATTTCTCTGAAAAACGTCACAAATTAACACAGATTAACACTGCCTTCGATCTTGTATTTTAATTATCGTTCCATGAGATACAAATAACGATTTCCTATGTGATGTCTCCTGAAAGAATGTCGTGATTCTGGTTTTTCTACAATCTCAAGCTTCCTCGACGAATGGACATTGTACCAAAATTAAAATTCATACTTCAAAATCTTTGCCAGTCCGCTATGTTCGAGAATGTCTAACTTTTTGTTTCAAAGGTTTTAGGTTAGGTTTAGGTTAAAACGATTAAAATCTTTTCCAAAATCTGTCGATTATTTCTCTGAACTTTGTAAAATATCCCAATTGAGTAACAACATCAATACTGGTCAATCGTGAGAAATAAAAATAAACTGAAACATTCGTACGATCAAGAATTTTCATTTTCACTGAATTCG